TGCTAAGGAAGAGGGAAAATTCCCATGCAGCTTTGGAAACATCCTTTTTCCACTAACCTTTTTTTAAGCATACAAAGTGAGTGCAAAAGCTTTGCAAGAGCTAAAGGCACATCTCAGATTCTGCAACACACACTGCATATGTGAAACAGTAATTGTTTTGAGATTTCAGACATATACTGGGCTGTCATTTGAAAAAAGTGATGGATGAGAAACTGGAAACCTCAAGGAATTAGTAATAGGATATAAAGCATTTCACCTCTAGGTCACCAGTTCAAATTCAACCAGGTTGGTAGTGACCAAAAGTAGTTACCATCTGGCAGCTGTTCTCTGGCTGATGTAAATTGAGTTGAGGGTCTCAGCGCATTTCCTAGTGGACAGGTGTCCTCAGCACAAAAAAACACCATAATTAACTCTCTGTTTGGCTTTCTCAGCAAAGCCACTAAACAACGAATAGAAGTAAAGACTGAGCTGTATTCCAGGTCAGCATGAAAGCATGTTGGCTGCAGAGCACTGCAGATTCTTAATCATAATTCCTCTTTATATTTTCAGACACGCAGATTAGGGAGGGACTTAATTTATCATCATTAAATGGAGTGGCTTTTCCAACTCAAGACAGAGCTCATGTGCTGCTATTTCTGCGCAATACAGATTTATTTTCAACATGCAGCTACAGCAGAGTTTGGAATCGCAATGAATGAGTGTGAAGTATACTGACATTATTAAAAATGGTAAATTTACCCTAACGCACTCACTCTGTCTCAAAAATCCACACTTACTACAGAGGACAGAGACACAGAAAAATCCCTTGGGTTTGGATTATTTGATACAAACTATTGGTTAAGATTATGCAACTTTGTAAATAAGGGGAGACTTACTGTAAATTAAAAAATGAAGATGGCATCTGTTAAGTCAACACCACCAACAAAGGGTTTTGGGGAAGAATACCACCACCGGTTATTTATAAGAGTTTTTAAATGGACCGTGTATCACAAAGTTCTGACTCCTGACTCTTTCAAGAAACAAACAATACACAGTCCTAGGCAGAACTGTGCGTGACCAAGGCTACAAAGCATTACGCATGAAAAACACTGGGAAAAAAATATTCCCTTATGCAGAGTTTTCCTCAACAGGAACTGGAAAATTTACTGAGCCTACTTATGGCCGACCCGTACTTTGCATAAGACATGGGACCAGTTGTTTATGGTATGACCTGCTGATGGGCACCATCTAAACCACTTGCTGCCATAATTTTTTTGAAATAGCCCTGGAACTACTAAAAGCTGTGTTTTACCACCTCGAGTAAAATACAGTCAGAGCTCATAGGTGGCTGGAATACGGCATTTCGGGCTGAAGGGTTTGACGCAGTTTGAGCAGTAGCTGACTTTTGAAATGTTCTTAGCACGCCTTCAGATAACATTAACTTTAAATAAACTTGCTGAATACTCATGTAAATTATTTCCATTTGGCTGTCTCATTATTCAATATGCTTTCAAGGAACATGGTGATGAAAGAAGAAAAATACCTCTTTCTAACATAACCATACTGGCAAGAGGATCAACATTATCAGTATTCAAAGAATGTCTTGGCAGGATAAACCTTCATAAAAAGAAGGAGCACTAGCTAATCCAAGTTGTCAAAATAGCAATAGTACTTCAAGGGTTGATCTGCAAAGTGATTCATTATTTATTGCTAATGCAAACAAAACATTCTGAGCAGAAAGAGCAACCGATTACTTCCTATCTTGGAAACCCACTGATGGTGAGTACACAATAAATGAACCCTAGGAGGACTGATAAAAGAGTACCTATTTTCTTACTTACTAAAAAACAACATAAAGGCTGGAAGAGCACTGTCTGATTTCTTTTCTATGAAGAACCACACTTAATGGTAATATTTTCCAAACTAAACACAGATATGAAATGCAGCAGAACAAAAAGAAAAATTTCTGGAGATTTCATTCAAAAGCATAAGATACACACCTTTTAAAAAAACCCAACCAAATGTGGTGGAAATAAAACATGCTATGTATCGTGCATCCTAACATTATATATATATTCAACAGCTCTATAAAGAGGCCTGACTTGTCAAAATAAGTTTCTGCTGGAATCAATTAGGCAACTATTTTCAGATGCCTAACCTCAGACATTTCTGCGACAGCTTCAGCCTCATTACACTCTTCCTTGCTAAAGTGAGGGCTATGCCTTCATAGACTCACAGAATGCTTTGGGTTGGAAGGGACCTTAAAGATCATCCAGTTCCAACCACCCTGCCATGGGCAGGGACACCTTCCACTAGACCAGGTTGCTCAAAGCTCCATCCTACCTTCCATGTCCCTTTACCTTCATATAAAATACAGGACTTTAAAAACTGAGGGGATTTGCTTTTGGTTTGGGTTTTTTGTTTGTTTGTTTGTTTGGTGGGGGTGTTTTTGGTTTGGCTTTTTTTTTTAAGTACTGTTTTTGTAATTTATTGAGAAGACTTCTTTGAAATACACTTTCATTTACACCTTTTTCACTTACTACCTTTTCTAGTCTTTCAACCTATCTTTCCTTGTCTCCTTCTGTCGTAGCTCATCTGTATCTTCTTGCTCTTTTAAGCCTCAGAACCTGATCGTACTCCCGATGTGAATCTTCTTCCATTGCAACAGAAAGCATTGGCTCAGCCTTAAGAATTTGGGATTCTAAGAACTCCTCTGAATAACTGCATATACAAATTGTCTTTTAAATGAATACGTAATTTATGAGATACACGAAAAATAAAGCCATTCTAAGAAGTTGATTCTTTCTACTGGTAGATTTCAAACAAAAATATAATAGACATCACCAGAAAAAAAAAAAAGTCATGCAACAACCCTATTCAGCAGAGTATTACTGTAGCACAGATATGCTGTAGAATCAGTATAGAAAAAACACCTTCTGATTGGAATTAATAACTAACGACAATAATAGCTAGCATCTAAAAGAAAAGGTAAAGAATATTCATATTCTGTGATAAGCTAAAACAAATGCACATTGACCTACTGCAAGTGGCTATACATTGGAAATTCAGAATTTCAAATTTCCTAAAAGGTATGATACAACAGGTAACTTTTTATTTTACAAGGAATGACAACGTCAGTAGCAAGACAGGAATTTACATCCAAATTTTTTTATGTTCAGTTCAGTTTTTAATTTTCAGACTATTTTAAAGCATCTCCACAGAGACAGACTACACCTTCTGTCTGACTTCTTAAGCCTTTAATTTTCCCATCTCAGCAATAGCTACTGAGCGACCTCTTGTGATGAAACATTTGAGCACTTTCGCACTCGCCTTCCTTTTTTTTCCTAAATAAATTAAATGAACGAAAGGGCATCAGTGCAAAATGAAGAGCCAAAAAAATCAGCACCATCTCTGCCATTACAATGAACAATACTGCCTGAATTGGATACTGAAGAATGTACTTCTGAAGCCAATAGGACAGGCAGTCAAAAGCAACGTGCCATGGCAACTGTCACGCCACTCTTCACACCGTTTTTGCAGTAAGTACTGTGAAAAAGACATGTGATCACCTTCTTGCACATCATTGTCACTGCATTAAAATAAGCAGAGAAAAAAAACCCCAAGATATGCAATAGTCTATTCAAAGGCGATGAAATCAAAATACTATTAAAAAAATCATCTGCAACTTGCAAGAGAGGGCAAAACCAAACCACCAGTAAAGACACAATTAGTTTTACTAACCAACATTTAAGACCAATATTGCGAACCACTGCTAGATATGTCAAGGAGCTCAGCACAATATTAGAAGCAGATACCCCTGGAGATCTCTGGTTTCAAACTCTCAGTGCTCCCAATGAAATAAGACGGCAAGCAGCTACACTTCCTCAGCTCTGAAATACTAATTTTGTAGCCAGCCAAAAGGCTGGTTTTTGTTTTTCACAGTATCTACACAGTGATATTTAGAAATACACACATAAATATAATCAGAGCATGTTAAACAACTCCAGAAAAGGAAGGGCAATATGTTTTCATTTCAGGAAAGCACACAGTGCCATTTATTATTCCCACTGAAAAGGAACTGAAGTGAGAATGTTTGGTTGATAACTGATCAAAACTGCTCAATGAACGGGCTGCATTTCAACAAATAAAAGTATTTTAGAAGAGAAACAGAATTGCTGAGGGATCTGGCCACGAGATGTCACTCTCTGCTTTGTGGCAGCTTGGAAATCAATTAGCACAACTTTCTTCTCTGAGGTGTCAAAAGCCAAGGTACAGCCAATGGAATTCACTATGTTAAATTTGGATCAGGTAAAGGCAACTGCTCAACATGTCATTTCTGTGGCTGTGTGTCTAATTTCTGTAGCTGTGCTGTAGAATTACCATTCAGCATGCTGTGAAGTCAAAACAGCCTCCAAGTAGCCTCTGAATTCGTTCCCCCACATCTAACAAAGAACAACTAGCTTAACTAAAGTTCTTTGTTATAACATATGTTACTGTTCTTACATCTGGGTATCAAATTGTTTGGAATTTTTTAGCCTTTTAAAATAAAATCATGGTTATGTATTGAGCTCTTATGACAAGTTATCTGGACGAGCTATAGTGTCTATCCAGGTAAATAGCCTAAACAAATAAGTTTTCTAAGAGTTTTCAGTTGGCTTTGGCTAACCTTTGATCAGGCCCCATGGTCCAGGAGGGTCTTGCTTCTTTGTCTGCAATACATCACCAACATCTTTACTAACCATTAGCATGTAAAATAATTTTTATACTTCATATATCTAACCACACATCTGTTGGAAGACACCAAAAAATCTGAGCCTGAGTTTTAGAAGTTTAAGATCAAAATCTGTAGCCATTATAAATACACAACTATGAATGGAAAAAATAAGTGGAAGTCCAAAACAAAGCTATGATGCAAGAAAATTCCCAGGAATTAAAGATTTTATGCAAATATAAGATGAACTGCATAAATTCATTAGAAACTCATCCTTAAGACACCTGATAGAGGAAAAACTCATTATTACCTTATTATGTATTAATGTTACCCTCAGGTCCGGTTTTATGATACCATATGCTGTCAGCAGATCTTGGACTTTTTTTAGTTCTTCCTTACATTTTCTACTTGTTGAGTAAAACTGCTTTCTTACTGGAAGATTCTTGAACAAATTTAGGACTGTTACTGTGGTACCTGCAAGCAGGTGACAAAAAAAAAGTAGAAATTACACTGAAAGTACATCATGGGATATTGAGGAAACTTTATTTTTACTTAAAGAGACCTGTTTGTATGCTGCTGCACACAAAATAAATTCAAGTAATGCTAAATTAGGTTATTTGCATGAGAAGAAATACACCAAATTAGCAGTCATCTTCCCCAAAAAGGTATCTATAGACCTCAAGAGCTGTGAGACTGCAGCGTTAAGTTTTTTTTCACACACACTGACAATTGCGAGACTCAGCACTAAATAAAGCTGAAGACTCTTTCAGTGCATATTAAGTCAGCTTTCATTAGTAAAATGATTTCAGACTAGAATCTCATCACACATATCTGGAGGCAAAGGAACACTGTGCTTCATTAAGGGCCTTCATAAGCATCTGTTTTAGGGTATTTCCTGAAGAGCTTCCGTTCAAGGTACACAGAGGGAGGAGGAATATTCACCTACCAACACAATCCCATGAATTCTGAACCCACAAGGATATTGCAAAGTGTTAAACATGTCACAGAATGCAGTCAATCATTCAACAGTTTTGACAATGCAAAATGTAGTATTTTCTATGGCTGGAATATACTAGTCTAAATCTTAAAAAGAATCCCTACTTAAAATTAGCTACACACCCTTACTGCAGGTTATAAAGAACTATGACTTTGCCTGGTCCTACAGCCAGGCTGCTTCCAGCAATTCCTTTGTAGAGCAGCAGGGCAAGTCTTCCTCCTGTAAGCAAGGATTTTGCTACGTAGAGAAACCTAGTTCTGTAGTTTGGTCCTGAACAAACCTTTCATATAGACCTGGAGAACTGAATTTTTATAGCTTTTATTTCCACTGTCAGCTTGAAGTGAGTCAAAGAAGGAGAAACGAGTTTATAATTACTATCTAGAACAATTTCCAAACCGTATTATTTCTTACAATATGACAACACATTCTCAGCTGACAGATATAAGGCAAGAAGTGTTTACAGCTGCAAAGATTTCATTCTCAGCCTTCAAGTACAGAACAGGTATTTCAACATCAGACAGAGCCTCAGAGAAACATAAAACACTCCTGTTACAGTGCAACACCAGAACAGTGATATCCTACCTTGTCCTAGATGGGAAGGCTTTTTAGAAGTTACATGCCCGTTGCTATTCAAAGCATACTGAGTGCTGATATCATCAGCAGCTGTCTTGGTTGTGACCAAAACCTGAAGAGAGTGATTTTAAAAAAACTTACTTAATCAGGGATAGACAAAGTTCAGAATGAGCTTCGACAAGCTTTGCTAATATTCTCACCACTCCTTTACTTTAGTCACCATGATTACATTTAATTAGTTTATAAAATTTTTCTTCTAGGGGTGTTTCTTACAGGCACAGAAACATTCTGCATTATTTATTATTCATGTGTCCATCCATTTAACTAAAAGCATTTCTATCACGCTAATACACAAAGCATAGTAATTCCTACTTCCTACAACACACACTGCTCTGTCTTCTATTCTAACACAGGTTAAATAAACAACTAAATCAATTGACAATTTGGCATTTTCATCCTCTGTGAGAGAGAAGGCAGCCTATGACAACTTCTTAAATTTACGTGAGATCCAACAAACTTAACGACTACTCTCTGTGTATTATCTCTCCACACCCAAACATATCTGGCAATCACTCCCTGCATGTTTTGTAAGCTATTAAGGTAATACACAGATGGCTTTAGCAAGAGCAGTCGTAAACCAGAGTTCAGGCACCAACATTTTGAACAGCAGAGCCACTGCACTTTAACCACCCGAAAGACAAAGTTTATCACACGCACAGCGCTTCAGGATATTTTGGGGTTATTTTAGTGTCTCATATGAATCATTTAGAGTTAAGTCATACCTCTAGAGAGAAAAACAGCAATTGGTTAATTGGAAATGACAGTATTACAGATCTACTTAAAGGCCTTCTTTAAATATTAAATACCTCCGAACCGAAACTTCAGGGGGCAGTTTGGGTGGGCAGAATGCAATGAATGCCAGAAGTGTTTAATTAATATAATTACTGATATGAGGATTGAAGTAATACCTATTAAAGCACTTTATACACTCAGGTCACCTCCCATCTCTTATGAAACGTACCATAGAGCTGATGAGAAGCTCAGAACAGATGGCATTCTGCTCTGACAACTCATTGGAAGGAACCAATGATTGAGGTCTGTCATCATCTATCAAAACACCAACACTTTTGAAAGCATCTTTGGAAATCTCTATCCAAACACACAACCCACTTCTGCTTAGTGCAATGTGAATGTAGCCCAAGGCATCAAGGAGTCAAGCTCTAACATCATCTCTCCTGACCTCAGCAGTTGATGGTTCCAATCAGACACAGAGATCAGTATCTTTTTGCAGGATCTAATCCTTGGCAGATTCAAAGAATCCAAAACTTGACCTTGGTGCAGTATGAATACAGAAAGGCAGAGCACAACAGAACTGCCAGATGCTGTGCCTTTAACAGCCTGAGCACTTTTCAGATGGTTTTGAACAAACTTACTTTCAGTTGACAAGTTAAATCAACAGCCTGAACACTTTTCAGATGGTTTTGAACAAACTTACTTTCAGTTGACAAGTTAAATCATAAGTATCAGTACAGTGCCAATCCTCTTAACACAAACATATGGATCAGACTCAGACATGCCAAGTAGCAGGTTCCTGTTTACTCATAGGGACAAAGTTTGTGCAATTGCAGTCACATACATGTCAAAGAGCAATAAGGAGCCCAGCAAGATCCCATGACTGCTGATCACCTAGATAAGAAGGCAGAAATGGTTACTGGAATGGTAGCTATGTGGGCCATCAGTTCCCTGAAATTATTTCTCCTGGCCACCACCTGCTGCTCCTCACTTTGATTTACCCTAATTCGAGTACCAAATTCAGCCATATTTTTTGGCATAATATTCCCTGATACAAAAGAAAAGAAAATACAACCCAATCTATCTCAGACCTGTTCTGACTGTGGAAAATAAACAGAGCACTGCTGTGACCAGTGTGACAGAAGGGCAGGACTGACACTGGCAAGAAATTCCTATGACATGGCTTCAGGGCTGGGGGGAAAGGCAGTATACACATGCCAAATGGTTCAGAAAGCACATCCCCGGCAGGCTGCTGGAACATTTCAAGCCTTTGCACTGGTATTTTAATAAAACTTTCACAAACACATACAGACAAAAGAAATCATAACTCAAAGATCAGACACATCTATAGCAACTGCTCACCTCCGATATGCTGCAAATTGACCCCAAAGCTTCCCCACGGAAACCGTACGTTGTCAACCTTTCAAGGTCCTCAGAAGAGCTTATTTTTGAGGTGTAGTGTTTCATGGCCATAACAGGAACATCCTCAACCTTGATCCCACTGCCATTGTCTCTTACTTCTATTTTGCTAAACCCGTAGTCGTCCTGAAAAGAAAACAAAACACAGTGGAGCACTAAAGCAATCAAATTAATTAAGACACAAGTTTGAAGCAGCCAAGGTTACACCTTCCAGCCATCCACATAGAAGCAGGAGTTTTGCTTAGTGGGAGGAACTGAGCAAACATTAAATGTCTTTTGGTTAAGGGGAAAAAAAAGAAAAATACAACATGTAGGATAATAGTGATGGTTCCTCTAATTAAATAATGTAATTCATACATTGTGGTTTGGAAACAGCATGTTAACGTAATTTCTGTTTTAATTTTACCGTATTTAAGTAAAGATTTTTTTAAACTATGATGAAAGTTGCAAAACCTAAGCTCAAAAAGAGACCTATAGCTGGAAAGCTAAAGACTTTTTCACCTCTTTTCACTTCTCTTACCTACTTGGTATCAATTTTTTTGAAATCACCCAAATGCAGCCCTGCACCCATTAAAGTCAGTGGGCCCTCACTTAAAACCATTTTCAATTTCAGTCTTGATTTATGCAATTTCATGACTTCAGTAGTTTTCCAGGTTCTATGGTCTGTCTCAATATACAGAAGTAAAATTCTAATGGGGGGCAAGGCATGAATGACAACAGTAATAAGCTTGTAAAGAGATATAATACTTTACAGAAAGAAGTAAAGGTTCCTAGAGGCTCTTTTAAAACAGCTTTCAAGGAAGCAAAGCTCAATCTTTGTGATTTACCTTTACATATATGCAGTACATATTTTATTGAATTCCAATTTAAATATGTCATTTCAATAAGCACCAGCAAAAATAGGGTAAAACTCTAAAAAGCCAGATATTTACAACAGCTAAATGCAAGATGGAATTCAGGTTCTATAACATCTCCAACAGGTGCAGCAAAAAAATGCTTCCTTACAGCTACATTATAATGTGCACATGTGAATTGCACCCAAAAGAACCACAAGCCAGGAGGAGAAAGTACTTAGAGCTACAGGATCACCAACTGAACTTCTGGTACAGAAGCACAACTGGCTCTTTGAAAAGATTATGATGCAACACAGAGAAAAATGTGCTGTCATGTGTAATACATCTAGGCAGCCTTAAAACTGGTTTTGCTTAAAAAGAAATATCTTCAGTAGTGGCTTAATGGACAGAGCATGCAATGGTTGATCACTGAAAGCTGATTGATTAAACAGAACAAACTTTGCTGTCTCATCTGGGCCTATACTGAAAACAGTTATGAAAAAATATAATGTACTCCCAAGGTTACTTCCTGAAGTAAAAAAAAGATGCAATTAAAAACTAAAAGAAGGTATCTAAAGATATTATCTGTATTCACAACAATTTGCTTTAGGAAACATCCAAAGCCTCTGAGGTAGGCACAGAACCATATATACTTAATTAACCGATACGTAACAGAAATGTGGTAACATTTCACTTGCTGTATTAATGAACAGTGCAAAAGCTGTCTTCAGGTGAAAAAACAATGCTTTTGCTTATCTTTGAGTCAACCTCCTACTGGGAAGCAAAACAGAACCTAAGCAGTACACCTCAACTGAACATAAAAACACATAAGGAGATATAGGCAGGAAGCCTTCTACCCTGCTGCTGTATGTGCTAGGGAAGGATGTGAGAATTTTACGAGTCACTATTTTCCATTCTAATTTTTACTTCCACACCACTTACCTGTTTAGGAAAAGTGAGATTTATCTTGAATCAAAATGTTACATGAACGATTCTCTATTTCTTTTCTAATGTTATTAATTTTTACTTGCACACGTTTTACGTAAATATTACAGTGCTCAAACTCTGTATTCTGCAACACCTTCCTCCATGACCTAAATGCTACTGAGGTTATGATCCTATGAGATGTTTAAGCTGCTCTGCCAGATTACTGATGTCAAACAGTATGATTCATGTTGATAGACAGTGCAAAGACACCCCATAACGTCACCTATGGGAGTCTGGTCAATCAAGAAGGTAACAACAATAAAACACCAGCCAAAGCTTCTCACTACAGCTGATCACTGCCATGGTTTCTACCTGAGAACCATTCCACCTGCAAGTTAACTCCTGCCTGTTTGTCTCAAAAAAAGCCATTCCTATATTTGTTCAGGCAAATTGGGTACCAAGACCGAAGGAATCAACCAGCCTTCCTAATCCATCTGAAAAAGGTTAAATCAATGAAAATGCTGCAGTTTCGCAAAAGCTATCAAGCTGTAAAATGGAATTTCAAAGTTTGCCTTCTCTATTATGACTTTGAACTAATCCAGAGTTAATGTGGTCATTGACCACTATTATACGGTCAGAATTATTTAAATTTCACATAAAAGAATACCAGGAAAAAAATTCATTGTTTCACAGTATTACTGTCTAGAGTTGCACAGAGTGCAGGATTTTGCTTCTCCCCTAGTACCCACAGAAGAACAACCAGCAAATCTCTTTCACTCACTGACAACCTGTGTAAAGCCAGGTTTGTTTCTTTACAACTGCAGTGATTTGGACTGAGCTCGACTGACAAAGAATGTAACTATGCAGATGACTCATGCACTGAAAATGGTTGAAAACGCTGTCTTTAATTGATTTGGGACTTATCACTACGAAAACAGGTGGTTGCTGTGCCGTGAAAGCCACACCGATTACAGAGAGGCTTTCTCCTCCAGCTATCTGCATATCTGTAACAGCACACCAGCACAAGAGACAAGGTCTGTTTTACCCATTCTGGAAGGCTCCAAAACCTTCTCTGTTGACTTCTTGCAGTTACTGATCTGATCAATATCAGATCAATCCATCAGATCACAGGATCTGATTCCAACACCCCGACCCCCATAACTGTGCACACACTACTTACTGTGGGGCTACTCATGAGCAAGATTCTATGAAATCTAAATATTGAGACGACAGAGGTCATGACAGACCATAGCAAAGATAGAGTAACTTCAGCTCACTTAAGGCAGTAGCAAACGAGCCTGTTCCTCAGCATCTGCAGGAAACCGTTCTCAGATGGAAGACGCTCGAGACTCATTCAAAAAAGTAGCAGAGACGTGGACAAAGAAACAAGCAGAAATTGAATTGCCCTCCTAATGAAAAGCACTTGTCTAACACTTAATTCAATAATATCTTACACACTTATTTGCACTGAAGGAAACTGGATGCAGTTCTGGATACATCCATTTATACAGGATGTTACAACACTTCTCTCTTACTAAGCAGGGGACACTGCTACTATACAGCTGTTGACAAAACCCTGCAAAAACAGAGATATGACAGCAAGAATAGCTGATCAGTTGGCCATTTTGCCCCATTTGGGGAAAAAAATAAAATTCTTTATTAAAAGTAATATTTTCTATTGTCGGAAACTATCCTTCAGTGACATGCCAACTTTTTTTAACAACTTATAAAAAGGAAGTGTTAGAAGTAGCCAGAATTAACCATGCTAATTTAGGGACCATGTGGTAATTTATATTACAAAAAACTCTAGCACGGCCATCAACTTTTTCCACTGTTTCCATTTTCACCTTCCTTACAATATTTTGTAATGAGCATTAAATATGTCAGTCTAGCAGTAAACTGAAGTTCAACATCTTTTAAAACTAGCTGTTAGTCATAAAAATTAAATTCTAAGTACGAAAATGAATATTAAGGAAGTTGACAGGTTTTTCCCTAAGATACACTCAGAAGTAGAAATACGCCCTACTGTTTCAGCAAAGCCTGAAAAACATTAATGGAAACTAATTTTGGATCATTTTTACGTGAGGTAAAAATACATATGTGTAAATACTACTAATACCTTGCCATTCCCCAAATCACAACGGCCTAAAAAATACATTTGTAGTGGAACAACTTTCCTTGCATCTTATTTTACATCCAACTCTTTGTAAGAGAAAGAAAAGGGATTTACCAGTTTAACATCAATATTTGTGGCACTGGCATCCAAGGAATTTTCTATCAGCTCCTTCACCACACTGACAACTGAAGTAATCACCTGAGAACTTGAAAGGAGACGAATAGTCTCTCCTGGCAGCTGCTTCATAGTGGAATAAGATTCAGAGAAGCTGCACAGAAAATAACAGAAAGAGAGTGTAAAAGGAATACTACAAATACACATTTCTAAGTAACCATTTGACAGCAACTTGTAAATGTTGACAAAGCACAACATTACGGCTGGAGAGTAAAATTTTCATGTTATAGTAGGTCCCAGCTTTCTCTGCAGTCAGTAAGTGTCGGGAAAGAAGTGGGGAGGCAACACAGTGGTGCTGAGGGAAAAGCCATATTCAATGGCAATGTGATCTACTGGCAAAAATGAAAACCAAACAAAAAAACTACTTAATTACAACCCTGTCTCTCTGATCTGATGTACCACGTGTCCTCAGGCCGGTCAGTTTATTTCTGTGTCACTCCATCTCTCACATTATCAACCAGTGGAGATTTCTTTTTTAATTACTGGAACCCAAAGGGTTATAAAATTCTTGCTGTATTATAGAGACACTCTAACATGAAGAGATCGTAAGTGGATCTCTGAATTTTAGTATATATTTCTGTTTAAGCACCCAAATCAACACAATTAATCAAGCCTGAGGACAAACACCTTCTTGATCCTTGTAGCCTGACACAAAGAACTCGGCCACAGTTTTTCATGCATATGAGAAAGGAAGGGGGAAAGATCATTGCTAGACAGCTCTCTGAACCTCAAGAATGGTCCAAACAGGCTTCTTCTCTCCTCTGGGTTATGTTATGTAACGTTATTTACACTGTTATCCCGGCAGTCCTGGCTTCCCCATCGATTCAGTCCAAGGTATATGCTGAAGAACACAGACTGCACATTCAGCACCCATCCCAAGGATATGAGCACACGTGGAGGAATGGAACATACCCAGATTTCCTCCTGATACAGTCAGGACATGGTGAGGGATTGCAGCCAACACCCCTGGGCACCACTACCCTGCAGGGTACATGCAGCTGATACAACAATTACAGGACACTTCTCTGCCTCGACATCCTTCTAAAGACTGACACTCTTCAAACATAAAAGACAAGGCAAAAATGTGGTTACTTAGACAGGAAAAAAAAGCAAACCAGTGTTATGAAGAGGAAGCATCATTAAAACTTTTCTAAGAACAGCTACAAAGAGGTTTTCTCTTTATATTGCTATTTACATTGCAAAGGAAGTTTTCCTTGCATATGTGGTAAAAAGATCCAACAAATTGGTTTTCCACAAACTGGAAAAGGAGCATGAGAAGATGTGTTGTTGAAGATGGACCAATATTAACTATGCACATGTGTTCAGAGAGGCAAGTTTTGAGGCAAGTTCCCTCACACATTCACACATTGCACAGGACTCCTGTGTCAAGTGCTTCATGATTTACTCATGGCAATTGCCAGATGGGAGCTGGATATCTCCATGAAACGACACTGACTAAGACACGGGAGGGTATTAAAACAGAAGCACTGCAGATCCCAATGACAAATTTTCCATGAGCTGTGCCTGATGCAGGCAGTTTGGGAGAGGAACCTGCCCTCGTGTGCCCTCCCTTTCCTGGGCCCAAACCGAGGGATGCAGCGCTGGGCACATCTCGGAACAGCTGCTGTGATGGAGAGACCACTGGGGCCTTCCCACCCATCCAACCTCTGATGACTTAGCTAAAAGACACATTTCAGCTCAAGCCACACTGCTCCTGTACTTCCCACCGACCGACACGTTACGACTGTGATCCGTGGGCAGGCTCCGTATTTTCTGTGTGTGGGCCCCATCACTGATGCAGCCCTTGTACCCCTTCGCACCGAGTGCGACACCCCAGCGACAGCCGCGGTGCTGCACGCCCTCAGGAAAACCGGGAACAAAACCTCCATAAACTCCATGGCTCCCGCCCCACAGACGTCTGGAGCTGCACCCACACCGCCCCCTCACACAGCCGCCTTCCTCAGGGGTCCAGCAACTGAGGCAACTCTCTGGTTTATGGGGGTGGGAAGGCAACAAGCTGCAGACAAACCCTGCGGTCTCTTGAGTTTACCCCAAACCACACGAGCCGTCCGCAGTTCCTGGTTCTCGCTGCGAGAGGCGGGGCCGCTCCCGCCCGGCGCTCGCTGCTCCCGGGGCCTGGCGCGGCCTCGGCCCAGGCCCGGCTCAGGCTGGGGGGAGGCGGTGGCGCTTCCCCGCCGTCCCGGGCGGCCCCGCGGCTGCGCCACCTGCGCGCCCGCCCCGCTCCCGCTGCCGTGGGCGGTGCGGGCGGCCTGGCCCGGCCCCTGCGCTGCCCCCGGCCGGCCCTGCCCAGGGCACCGCGGGCTCTACCTGCGCCCGGCGCCCCGCGCTCCGCTCCGGCTCCGCGGGGCTGCGGAAAGGTGGGGCCGCCCGGGGGGCGGAGGGAGGGACGGACGGACGGGCAGCCGGGGCCGCGGAGAAGGCCACGGGCACGGCCGGGCCGGGGCAGCGGCGGGGCCGGGAGGGGAGCGATGGCAGGGAAAACAGCCGAGCTGCCCCTCGGATCGGGCGGGAACGGTGAGGGGAAATGGGAAGGGATGGTGGGTTACGCCAGGATGTCTCTCTAGGTACGAGCTCGGCGGGCGCTGCATCCCCAGGAGGGAGGAACGGCCTCGCGTCGCCCATCGCAGGTAACGTGTCCCCTGCACGGTTTGAATGCCCTGCGACAAGGATTGATTGGTGTCGGCACCGCCCCGGCTCGCTTTCGGGTTCATCGCGTCTATTTTTATTCTGCCGCGGTTAATACTGCAAAATAGCCGGGTATTTTGTGTTTATTTTATACTCTCTACGGCACTAAGCCTGTGTCAGAAACAAACTTCCTACCGAAAGCAAGCTGCTTTTGCTGGTTAAACAGTGCTTTTGTAGTCTGATTCAGATGAATGTTAAAAAATATCTCCTTCTCAGTCCCACAAATGAATATACATCGTCCCACAGATCATGTGAGGATGAAGTAAGCAATGGTTTGTTTGTGTTTTTTTTTAATTATCATTACAAATTTTACTACAACAGGATGAGAGTGTCACCATCTCTAAGTTCTGTCAATTTTTTTACAAAATCAGCATTTGAAATTGTTCTGTGTGTCTACATGTGTCTGTTGCTTAGAAACTTTTGAACCTGTGCTCTAATTTCAGCCACATTTGAAAGATGGAAATGTCTGAAAAATAACAGATGGGTGAGGGAGGAATATGTGAAATCTGCACTCTACTGCAAGAAAAATAGGCATGAATTAGTCCTTGGTTGTTCTTTCTAGCAGTAGGTGGCTGGGCAACTGGTATATGCAGAATTCTTTACTAACCATTGCATGAACAAGAAACAAGAGGAAAATTGATATGGGAAGTGGAGAAGAACTCTGGATATTGTCATGGATGGAGAAACTAATTCAGAAGATGAAAGTTATAAGCTTGGTTTCTGACAGGTTTGCAACTTTAGCCTCTAACAGCACCGCTTACAGTTTTTTTTTAAAATGTTCCTTCTGTAACAGGCTTGTAAGTTTTATTTGTTTGTTCTTTTTTTGAACAAACAGTTCCTAACTGCCCCTTTGCATTGACTTCTGTATGAACCATAGTTTGAACATCTTGAGGTACATCTTGCTTTATGCACTGTGTTCTTTCCAGACCTACTTATTTAAAAGAGCCTTTTCCCACATTTGAAAATGGCATATGTTAAGTACTCCTCTGTAACAGTAGTCTCAATCTTCAAACAGATCTGTTTTATAGGGTAAAAATGAACGTAGGAGTTGCCCACAGCGAGGTAAATCCAAACACTCGGGTGATGAACAGTCGTGGAATGTGGCTGACATACGCGCTCGGAGTCGGCATGCTGCACATTGTCCTGCTCAGCATTCCCTTCTTTAGCGTCCCTGTTGCCTGGACTTTAACAAATGTGATTCACAACCTGGTAAGTAACCACTCGTGCAACAGAATTGGAAAAGTTGTTCGTGTGTATTTATTTTCAGTAGCCATGGAAGAGGATATTAGCCATTCTGTGTGGATGATGAAATCCTGCTGGCCAAAACAGCACCTCTGCTTGGCTTATCCACAGATGATTGGCTGTTGGGGGACGGAGGAGTGATAGTTGATCACTTTTGATTTCGGCATGAAAGACGTGAAATATTCCTTCCATAGTTATGTATTCTTTTAAAAGGCATTTAATTAAGCTAGAAGGTTGCAAACATAAAGTCATCATGCCAACCAACTTTTACAGTGTTCTGTATATTATTAGAGAGCTGTGCTGAATCCATAAAACATCACATTTTTAATTCTTGGGTATTATCTGTTGATTTTTCTACATAAATCTGTTAGTATTCCAAAATGTTTACTTTCAGCACCTTACCTCTTCTCTTGGACAGAAATATTTGTGTTCTGTTTCTTCTAGCTTTGATTTCTGTCCAAGCTAGGTAAATTGTAGCTCAGAATGACTTCAGCATACAAGGTTATAACTATATATGACGTAAGAGAAATCTTGTTTGACAGCAGTGGGAAAAATTGGGCTACTTTGACCCAAGCCCTGAAACCATTTGTTATTCAGTGGATCATGATTTGCATGATGACTTTTGTATGCAAAAGATTTTGGAAGCTGACGATCTTGAGAATCTTTCTGCTCCTCTCTCCATTTTGTTATAATCACTTAAAGTAATGCAACCATGTATATTGGTCCTCAGTCCTTAGAGAAAAGAGGGCCATAATCCAGCAATTTACATCATACTTGAGGTTTGCTAACTCAGCTTTCTCAGATTAACAGCAAAGAAGTCTTGACAAAAAGATAGTTCCTTCCTCATTTACAACAGTAATAGTTCTCTGTAAAGACTGAGGATGGATAATATCCTCTTGAATCATGTAAAATTTTAATTTTTAGTTGAGCTTTTTGTAGATAGGTTTAAAACTAGTGGTGGAATTTTAAGTATCATTAGAGCATTTCATATGTTATCTGTGACACCATCAGACATGTCAGACATTTAAGATGTTGGCAGAGAAAAGTATTACTAAATATTTCCCACATGCCTTAATGAATTCATTGCAAGTAGCTGTAATGACAACAGGGACGAGAGCATGCACTGACAAGTAGTTTGGTAGTGGAACACTAGAAGATAAGTATAAATTGCACTTTTTGGATATTTCAGCATTTAAATGGCACTTCTTTTGGAAACAAATCCTTGAATGGTTTGACAAAGAAAAAAAATCTTGTGTTTTCACTAATAGAAAACTCTTAGTTTACCTTGAAAGCATTTTTGTTGGTCCTTTCTGCAAGTACCAGTGTGAAATAAAATGTGTAGTAAGCATTTAGATCTGTCCTAAAACCCTCTTTTTGGTTATTAAAATGGAGACACTGCAAACATCATTAATCTAAAAATTAATTAAACAAATCAATTGTCTTAGGTTCATAGGCCTCTGGTCTGGAGGCTGTTCCAAAAAAAAGTGGAATGAGACATGAAGTGACTTGCTGAAATTTCACCTCCATGTGATCTTGTCTCTATATAAAGCTTTCTATAAAAATTTTTGTATGTGCATAAGGCAGTCTGTGATATTTTCTGTTAGAGTCTTGCTTGGAGCTGGTGTGCTCTCTTTGACAGAAAACAAATGGTTTTTAAAACTGGAAAAGGACATACTGCCCTATGTGAAACCAGCAGGCCCAAACTGATCTTTCAGATCAGACCAGGCATGGAATGATCCCGTCAAACAGGAACAGGAACATAGAAAGTCCAAAGTGGTTAAGGAGAGGCAGCAAAGAGGTGGACAGATGGTATTCAACAGATTGCTGTAGTCAGCTTCTAGGGATTTGAAGGTGGGGGGGGCTGAGAAAGCTTTCTGAAGGTCTTGTAATATTGCCAGTATTCGTAGGTAGATGTTACTTTGTGCAGACTCTACCTCATCGCTTATTTAACACTGTGGTAATATAAATCAGCCGCCCCAAACTTGTTACAGTGCTTGTTAAAATTCTGTTGATTTCATGGAATTTTTGCCATCTAATGTAGAGGACAAGGGAGTGGATCAGACGTCACACAGACTTTGGCTTTAACTCTGACTGTGCCACTCACTTCACAGTCTTGGGCAAATCACTTCTTGTCTCTTCCTTGCTCCTCGATCATTTTGTTACAGGCCAGCAGCTCTTCTGGGTGAGAAGTCACTTATATTCTTTTTTTTACAATGCATTGAACAATGTAACAATTATAAAAAAATATAGCTAAAAGTGCCTCTGTATTCACTTTTTATTTTCCCCAGGGAATGTATGTGTTTTTGCATGCAGTAAAGGGAACTCCTTTTGAAACACCCGATCAGGGGAAAGCTAGGCTACTAACACACTGGGAACAACTGGATTATGGAGTACAGTTCACATCTTCAAGAAAGTTCTTCACAATCTCTCCTATAATTCTGTGAGTTCAAAACTGTATTATGGATTAATTGAATCATAAAACCATGATTTCAAAAGCTGCAACATAATGGGTCGCAATTTACATTCTGAAAGCATTTTCTCTCTTTTCTTGCTTGCTTGTTTGTTAATTTACTTCTACATCACAGAGGTAGGGAGTACGTATTTATAGGCCGTGTGATCAACAATCTTTCTTCCTGCTGCTTTTGACACTCCACATATTGAAGTCAAAGTCTGTAAACGGTTATGGGGCAGGTTTTAAAGATTAGAAATGTTGCGAGGAAAACTTAGTGGTAACTCTTGAAGTTCTTTAAGAGATCGTGAAGTCATAAATATTGAAAATCTTAACCAATTGTCTTTGTAACAGCATTTATTAACCATTTTGCAACTTCTGAGTTTGGAGGAGTGTGCCAGTCGTCACTGCATGGGGTCCAGTGTCAGTTTGGCTTTGTACCTACTGTCTTCTGTTTACACTAGTTCTGTAAATGGCTTAGAAATTCTACACACCTGTCTCTGTTGACAAAAGTAGGGTTGAGTAACTAAAGGAAATCAGATATGTATTAGATGTCCAACTCTAAAAGTCTTTCTGTTTTTCCCTAAAGAAAGTTGTCCACTTGCATGGCAGAGTGAGGGGGGGGGAGGCACAATCCTGCATAATGTTTAGAAAGTTCGTCCATAAAGGATAAAAACTGAAAAAAATATATGTAATTCCTCAAGAAAACTTTTCAAAGATAGCTCCCCACTTTGCAGCAGGAGTTTTGTATTCATAACACTAGTGTATGGTTCTCTTGATGCACTAATAATGTATAAGTAGCTGAATGACATCTCTGTTTTGCTGGGGAAAAAACCCCAAACCCCAACAATCTGATTGCCTCATTTTTGTGATGAGGATGAAATTACAGGCTCAAAGCATAAAGCAGTTGGTAGTGAATTGAGTTTTCTGAGGCATATTTCCTTATTCTAGATGAACAGGTTGTGAACTAACTTTAAAGAAAAATGTGCTGGAAACATCTGTCAGATGGGAATAACTTTAAAATCATGCCAGTCACAGGTGTGCTCAGCATAAATAATTTTTGTACTGAAAAATGTCGAATGCTTTGTCACTGAGTTTGCTAGGGTAGCAGAACTGCAAATATTTTGGTAGCAGATCTTACACTATTTAAAATCTGAATCATAAATCAGACCTGTATCTGCAGAAGTCAGACTCAAACTCAAATGGGCGGAGAGGGGTGGTGGAGAAAAATACTATTGGTGAGTTGCTTTTTAACACCTTGAGAAGTATGGGAAGAAGAGACTTAGACCATAATTTTGCTGTAGATATTCTAGAACCTCAGGTGGGATATTTAATACAGGAATAGATCAGTAAAATCTTACTGATTACTAGAGCACTTTTTTCAACTCTGCTTTGTTTGTTTATTTTTTAGACCAGGGTGCCATCAGCTAAGCTTGCTCCTTTTTCTCCTGCAGGTACTTCCTGACGAGTTTCTACACCAAGTATGACCCAACACATTTTATCCTGAACACAGCCTCTCTCCTGACCGTGCTCATCCCCAAGCTGCCACAGCTGCATGGCGTTCGGATCTTTGGCATCAATAAATACTAAGGAGAAGGTTCCACACTGGCCGCCCCTGACATGGCTCCTGCTGCTCCCCGGGTGAAGGAAACGAGTAGTCTGCTGTGCCCAGTATCTCCTCGTAGTCAGTGAGAGATGCCTTTACATCTGAGATACAATTCCTGCTTCCTGCAGCATTGTCTGGGATGAAAGTCGAGTTTATAAGAAGCTGCCTTCAAATACTTAAATGTGAATTGGAAACCTGTAGAAGAGAGATTTCCATGAAGAGCTGGGCAGGCCCAGCTGTAAAGCCTGATCCCCACTAAGACTGTACCTGTGGCTGACGCAAGTGATTTGTAAAGAAAGGTGCAAGTAACAGCTGAAATGGAGAGCAGTGTTTCACAAATGCCCATTATCCATAATGCAGATGGTAACTTTACATATGAATCCGGGATCCTCAATGCCAGGGACTGGTGAGGCTGCATTCTTAGGTTAAGTGAAAGTAGCTAGTTCCTGCTGTATGGATTGTAGGTGGTTGTGCTTGTTATTGCATTGTAAAAGTTTGTCTCACAGTAAGTACTGTGACAGTGAGCATAAACTGATGGTGTAATTCCTGCCTTCTCTGTTCTTGTGATTTATTTTTTTTTGTCACAATGACTGAAGAAAGTCCTTAACTGCCAGCTCAGGGGATTTCCACATCAACTTGATAGCTCGGTTTATGTATGCTTTGGAAAATTGCCGCTGTTGTGTTGTTTTCATTTTGCTTAGCAGGACACTGACTTTCCTATGCGTAAAAGGGACATCCTGAAAAATTGGAATTTCTTTTTAGGTGTGGACTTTTGACTATTTTCTCTGATATTGGCCGATGGGGTTTTTTTCAGTAGCTGAGAGGCCTGTGATGGGGTCGGGAAAGGGTTGCTGGTGGTGTAGGAGAAGCAGCTCTGTTACAGCTGTGTCAGAGCACATAAGGGAAACTGGGTGGGTTGTAAGTTAGAATAGAAGCTGAACTAGAAGTAGGTGAGTAGGCAAATCACATGGACTAACTGTATGCTTTTGCAGAAAAAGATAACTTGCATGTCTTGGAAATGTGGAGGAATGCTGTGTTTTAGGGGTACCGTGTAGTATGGGGTATTCTTGTATGTAATCAGCTCTGGAATTAGAGTGAAGAAGGTACATCTACAGCTCTGAGCACTTATTTCTCTGTCTTGGAAAAAGGATGAATTTTGAAGTCTGCCGTTTGTCTGTCAGCCAAAACTGGCTCAGATTTAACAGAAGACTCCATTTAAGACTTGATTTACATTTTGGTTGCAGTGACAGCCAGTGAGCTGGAAAAAAAAAATTAAAAATAAAAATAAAAAAAGACAAGCCCACAGTGGCGTACTTCTTTTCTTGCTAAGGAAATTTTCTGGTTATTTACTTTACCGATAAAGGTACTGTGAAGAAATGGCAATGAGTTATGAATTTTCTGTAGCAATTTAGTAACGAGTTCTTTGCGTTATTTGGACAGGAAGTGGTAACTGATTTTTAAGTAATGGCCATCATAAGGCTGTGCTGCCTTTGACGGTCACTGCCTTGTACAAGTGGCAGGGACTTAAAGACACGGACCGACCTTAGGGACCGCAGGTCGGGGCGGGGATGCCTCCGGACGGCCGGACAAAACCCTTGGATTAAGGAATCGCAGCTCCGCGGCTGCGCCGTGCCCGGGAAGCACCGCCCCCTGACCCGGCGGGGCGGGGCCGAGCGCCGGGAGGAGCGGGGGGCGGCAGCGGCGACAGGTCGCGACAGGGGACAGTGTAGGGGTGCCGTGACACGGGCGGCGCGGCCGAGGAGCGGCCTCGGAGGTGCCGCCGGGCGGGAGGAGCATCCGCCGGGGATCGGGGCGAGCCCGTGGCCTTGGAGCGGCGGAGAGCACAGAGCTGCCCAGAGCACAGAGCTGCCCGGGCAGCGGCGCGGACACACCGCGCGGTGCTGCTGCGGGGGCTCAGTCCCGGCCGTAGGGCTGCCAGAAGCACCTCACACAACCAGCTTGGTGAGGAACTCTACCCTCTTTGAGGTAAAGCGAGACGTTAGCTCCCAGCTGTTTTTTCCTTAGTATCTTAAATATGATGTGTGGCCATTCATAACTGTAAAAGTAATACCACCTCTTCAGAAAATCAGAGCAGTGCACGTGCTTGAAAACCCTCCAGTAATAATAAACTGTACAGTTCTCTTCTAGACATATAACTGCCAGGTAGATTTTTAACAATGAACAGTATTGCCAAAAGCCTTTTGAAATCGTTTAAACACGGCCAAGCTGCGTGGCTGAGAAGCAGCTCAGCTCACCCTGGAAAACAGTGTTCTCGGAGGCTGGTTTTGGGAATAGAGACGAGCTGTGACGACACGGGGGCTGCTGTGGTGGATGATGCCGGCTGTGTCCTGGGAGAAGCCCTGCACTGTCAGAAGGAAGTCCATTTACAGTAAGAATATACTTCTCTGAAGGCTTTTGCCTTAGTAACTTTTATTGTTATTATTACTTGCAATATCATCCATATAAGTCTTCCATGCTCCATAAAAATCAGTAAGAGGTGGGTAGGTGGGAAGACATATCTCCTGGGCTACAATACATACTGCTTGAGATAGTACTAAAGGGGAAGAAAGAAATGTGCATTTCAAAAGTTTCTTCTAGTATTTTCTTTCAGAGGGGGACAGATTACCTCCCTAGCTTGAAGTAAAAATGAAATCATTGTTACTGTTAAGACCACCAAATGTCTCAATGTTTTTAAGTGAAAATAAATATAAGCATTGGTGGCTAAGAACCTGAACTAATAAGTAAGGGGTTGTGAATATGATATTACATTGTTTTGGAACAGTGTTGAGATGAATTTAAGAAGTATCTGTACCAAAAAGGGCAGGTTACATCATTTTCTGACCTCCTAATGATAATTTAGCTCTCTTCAGTGCCCTTTACACTAAACAAGGCATTTCAGAATGCACTAAGGAGACAGGCAGGACATGGCAAGGTTAAGAGGTGCCTGAAAACTATTTTTATGCCATTCTATCTGTTATGAAACACCAATGGATTGTAATTCTTTGGTTTTACTAGAACAGGTGGAATAATTCCTGTGGTGGCACAGCAGCTTCACAGAGAAAACATCGAGCAAGTGGTAGAAGAGGCGCTTCGTGTCAGTGGTGTTTCTGTACCTGAGCTTGCAGCTGTTGCAACTACAGTGAAACCTGGACTTGCTCTGAGCCTTGGGGTGGGGCTGGAGTACAGCCTGGCCTTGGTGAACAGGCACCAGAAGCCGTTCATACCCATCCATCACATGGAGGCTCACGCGCTGACCGTCAGGCTCACACATCACCTGGAATTTCCCTTCTTAGTTCTTTTGGTCTCTGGAGGCCACTGTATCTTGGCAGTAGCACAAGGAGTGTCGGATTTCCTTCTGCTTGGACAGTCCATAGATATTGCACCAGGTGACATGCTGGATAAGGTAATATTTCCTTACATAAGTGAACCTAGTTTTTTCTTCTATAATACATAATGGTAATATTATCATCAGCCCAAGGACAGTAATTCCGTGTAATATGAGGTTTACTTAACAGGGTTTTTTTCTCTTTTGAACAGACACAAGAGTCTGTTAAAAATGTACACATAACATCAATTGTAACATATGTACATTGATTATACTTTTAGTAAATAGGCAGCCTAACAACTGAAACTGGCGTTGGAAGTTTCATTGACACTGATTATACAAACAAGTTGTATGAATTTGAGAAGATTGACAGTGCTATTTTAAAAGATGCTGTCAGGTTTAAAACAATACATATTAAAACATTTCATACTAGTTTTATTGCTTACAGTTTGAAAAGTGTGGTTTGGCTTTCAGAATCTTAAGTTTTCTGGGTCACTGAGTACAGTCTGTAAAGTTGGTCACTTACAGTTTTGTTCTCAAACACAGAGTTTTAAACAGTATTTGTGCACACTAAGTAAAAAATTGGGAGAGTCAGAAAGGGGACTGTCTAAAGTTGAAACCAACTTTATTCCTGTGCATCTGGTAGTACAGTATGCCAGTCTGTGTGTGTTTCCTATAGCTTGAAAATGGGAGTAATTAATGTCTCCTGCAGAATTTGTTTGCCCAAATTGTTCTAGAATCGCATTTCTAAATACTCTAGCAAAAAAAAAATCCAGCTGGTGTTATGTCTTGTGCTTACTGTGCCCTGTTTGTAATTTCACATTGGATTGGATTTTGTGGTGTCCGGATTTATTCCATGGACTCCTATACAGTGGTGCAGTTACAGGAAGAACTGATTTCAAGTCTGTTGTTTATTCTCTCCTCAGGTGGCAAGAAGACTGTCTTTAAGAAAGCACCCAGAGTGCCAGAGCATGGCTGGGGGGCAGGCGATAGAGCACTTGGCTCAGACTGGAAACCAGGAACAGCTCGTGTTCCGACTGCCCATGAACCAGTATCGGAACTGCAACTTCTCTTTTTCTGGACTTCTGAACCTTGTCAATAATGCCATTGCACAAAAAGAAAAAGAAGAAGGTATTTTTAAACAGTCAGGTATAAACCATGTTTCTGATGACCCACGGTCAGGAAAACCCCTTTGACCGTACATTTTTGTAGGTGTTCAGGAAGGTGAGATCCTGTCCTGCGTTGAGGATGTTGCTGCTGCCGTCCAGCACGCAGTGGCTGTTCACATCATCCAGCGCACCTGTCGGGCCATGCTGTTCTGCACACAAAATAGCATCTTACCACCAAAAAATGCAACCTTGGTGGGTATGCTTCTTCTTCCTTTTTCTGTTTGACTATGTAACATCATTTGAAGATGCAGATGCCTTGTTGTACTTCCTGCCTTGACAGGTGAGGAAGATCTCAGTATGCATTACATTCTTAAAATACCAGGACTGAAGTAATAGTAATATAAACATTTACAAGGAAGTCTTTCATAGCTGGGTTTTAAGCTAGAGAGGTATTTTCTTACCATCTAATTTAACCTCCCATAACACCTTAGGCCACATAATTTGACCTTGTGCTCCACAATACTGATGGCTGTTCTAGCTCCAGTGGAACCATAGACTGATTTGGGTTGGAAGGGACCTTTAAATTCATCTAGTTCCAACCTTCCTTCCACTAGACTGACATGCTTTTATTCAGGAATGTCTTTCAGCATAACAAGCTCACTTAGCATACTCTTTTCTGCTATGTTTTAATCTTCAAATGCCTTATTTATTGCTGTCTTCAGAACTGATAACCTCTTTTTTTAAACGGGATGCTAGTTGAGTGTGACCCATCAGTACTTTTGAGTTAATGCCTTTTTTTGTCACTGCTGTCAGGTTGTATCAGGAGGAGTTGCAAGTAATCAGTATATCCGAAAAGGTTTACAGAATTTAGCAGATGCAAATGATTTTGCTTTACTGTGTCCTCCTCCAAGACTGTGCACTGATAACGGTGTTATGATTGCATGGTAAGAGTTGTTTCTCTTTGCATGTGCTTCTATAATGTTCTTTAAAAGCTAACATCAGAGTGAAGAACCTCTGATGTCACGTGGTGACTGAACCATGTGCCCTATTCAGAGAGTTATGACAAATATTTTATGTAATTGCTTTCTTGCCCAGGAATGGCATTGAAAGGTTACGAGCAGGACTTGGTGTTCTACACGAGACCGATGGCATCCGCTACGAACCCAAGTAAGTGACTGCTCAGTCACAGTCTGTTAGTGAAAAGGGAAGGAGGTTACACTAAAAAGTGGCAGAAGCTGCTAAGGAGCATCTTTGCAACACTTATAAAAGTTACTGTTCAATGTAGTTGTGACATACACATGATCATTTGTGTTTGGTTTGGCTCAGAAACTTAAATTACCATACATCATAACAGTTCTGTGTGTTTTCCTACTATCACTGTGGTGCAGGAAAACTGGAGCCAGTTAAGCTGCAATACTCTCCCTTAGCTTCTCAGTCACCACAGGCATAAGTCAACATGCTCCAAGTCCAACTGTGTATTCAAAATGAGCAATCAATTAAATAAGACCATATCATCTGATAATACTTTTTTTTTTAACCGATAATACTGATTTTTTTAACAACCAGTTAGGTAACGCTTGCTCTATGGCTTTAAGTAGATCTTATACTTAAGGCCAAACAAAATTCTAATATATCAAAAGTACCAGCTGGTCTTAAACTTGGGCTTTTTTTCAGGTTTTTTTTCCTTTTCCATTTTCAGGAAAACAGACTTGGACGGTCTCAATTAAAAAAAAAATTGTATTATAATTTTCACATGAAAAATTATAAGATACTCTTCTTCAAAAATAACTTGCTGTATACATATCAGTGAATAAAATACTAAGTTTCATTTGCTGTAGAAAATACATTATTTAAGATTATCGTAGAAAGAG